TAAAAAATTCCCAAAGGCTGCATGCATGAAAAATGGAAAATGTTCTAAAGGTTTTCCTCAAGCATTTAGTGAGACAACTATGCTAGACAAAGCAGGCTTCCCTATCTATAGAAGGCGAAATGATGGCCAATTTGTAGAAAAAAATGGAGTTAAGCTGGATAACAGATGGGTAGTTCCTTATAATGCAGATTTACTATAATTTTTTCATGCTCATATCTGTGTTTTAGTTTGCTTCCTTGATCACTCAGTGAAATATTTATTCAAATATATAGCTAAAGGTCTAGAAAGAGCACATGTAGCTGTTACTGAGGTAAGGGGGTTAGAAGGAAACTCAACAGATGAAGTTGTATATGATGAAATCAAACAATACCTGGACTGTAGATACATCACACCTTGCGAGGCACACTAGAGATTAAATGAGTTTCCTATTCATGGTAGAAATCCAGCTATTGAACGTCTCCAATTCCATCTTCAGTATAATCACATGGTGGGTTTTCGTGAAGATCAAGATTTGCGCAAAGTATTGCAAAGAGAAGGAATATAGAAATCCATGTTCACAGAATGGATGGCAACAAATGCTAAATTCATAGAAGCTAGAGCATTAACATATCTAGAATTTCCAACAAAATGGGTGTGGAATAAACAAAAAAAGAGTTGGACACCCGGAAAATGAAGGAATATGATTGGAAGATTATATTACGTACCTCCTACTGCAGGTAAGTTAAAATTAAATAAATTGAAATACTATGCTTTTAAAATTCTCTAATAAATTACAATAGTTTTGTTTCTAATATATTCATGTTGCTGTAGGTGAAAAATACTACTTGAGATTGTCGTTGCAACATATTAGGGGACCAACCTGTTTCAGTGATTTATATACAGTTGGAGGTCATCAATATGATACTTTCAAAGAAGCATGCTATTCAATGGGACTCATTGGAGAAGATAAAGAATGGGAAGAAGCTATAAATGAAGCTTTTGAATGGAAAACTGGTCATACTCTTAGAGAAATATTTGTGATGATACTCATGCATTGTGAAGTGACAAATAGTGCACTTTGTGGGATAAAACATGGCTAAAGCTTTCTGATGGAATTTTACACCAGTGGCGACACATCCTGCGGCTACCTGAGTTACAGCTAACTGAGGAACAACTAAAGAATTATACACTTTTTGAAATTGAGAGACTGCTTATAAATGGCTCCAATTTGCAAGAACATGGTCTGCATCAACCAGATACGACATTAATTCAGAACAGAACAAATGCTCTTATTTTTGAAGAGTTAAATTTTAATAGAGCTGATGTAGAACAAGAATTCAATCAGTTATTCTCTACATTGAATGAAGATCAACTAGCGGCATTTCATCAAATAATGCAGTCAATCAATAACAAAGAAGGCAAGCTATTTTTCATTAATGGACCAGGTGGAATTGGTAAAACTCACTTATATAAGACTATTTTGTATGGAGTTAAAGCTAGAAATGGATTGCCACTGCCAACTGCGTCTTCTGGTATTGCAGCACTACTACTTCCAAGAGGTCGAACAACACATTCTAGGTTCAATATTCCACGAGAAATATTTAAGGATAGCCTCTGTGGTATAAGCAAGCAGGATCAACTCTGTAAATTAATACAATTAGCAGATGTTATTATATGGGATGAAGCTCCTATGGATCATAAACATTGTTTTGAGGCAGTCCACCACACATTACAAGATTTAATGGATGGTAAAATTTCAAGAGCTAAAGAACTGCCATTTGGAGGTAAGACAGTTGTCATGGGAGGTGATTTTCGTCAATGCTTTCCTGTAATCAAGAAAGCAACAAGAAGTGAAGTGGTAAATGCTTCAATTTGTAATTCTTTTTTGTGGATGAATTGTCAAATATTAAACCTTAGAAAGAACATGAGGCTGCTTTCAAATCAGTTAACTAACACTCAAAAAGCAAAAGTAGAACAGTTTTCAAAATGGATTATGAGTATAGGTGATGGAACAGCACTAGGTGTACAATGTGAAGAGGGTGAAGAAGGAAAATGGATTGAAATTCCTGAAGATTTACTCATTCCATTTGGAGAAAATGCAGTATCTCACCTCATTGATGTTATATATCCGGAATTTGAAAATCAGCATGATAATCATACTTACTTAAGTGAAAGATCAATTGTCACTCCAAAAAATAGCTTCGTAACTTACATCAATGATTTGCTGTTGGATAGAATTCCAAAATCAGAATACATCTATTTGAGTTATGATTCAGTGGAAAGATTAGCAGGGCAGAGCAATCATCAACCTTTGAATTATGCAGAAGAGTATTTGAACTCACTGGAGTTTGCAGGTCTCCCCTCACATCAATTAAGATTGAAAGTTGGAGCACCTATCATGCTGATGAGGAATTTAAAACAGAATGCTGGTCTTTGTAATGGAACAAGATTAATAATAACCAGATTAGCAATGAAAGTTATTGAAGCAGTTATACTTACAGGATCTCATGTCGGCAACCTCGTCAATATCCCCAGAATCAGTTTGAAACCAGAAAATGTTACTCTACCATTTGTTCTAAAGAGGTGACAATTCCCAGTGCGGGTGTGTTATGCAATGACTATTAATAAAAGCCAAGGTTAGACATTAAAAAACGTTGGTATTTACTTGCCATAACCAGTTTTCACCCATGGTCAGCTTTATGTAGCATTATCCAGAGTGCAAGAAAGATCAGGTCTGAAAATAGTTATTGATAACAGCAATGTTCCTCAAAGTCCAAGATGGAATTATACGAAGAACATAGTTTATAAAGAGATTTTTCATAACATGGGATAATTTCAATATAATATATCCAATTCATATTGCTTTTCTATACTTGCATTTGACATCTTTCAATATAAAATTTCAAAATTATTATCTTTGTAAAACTTTAATTTTAATTAATAGCAAAACTGATATGCTTCCTTTTTATAGTTAGTTGTTATCCTTGGGATTATTTAGTCTCATAGATTATTTAGTCTCCCCTCCTATTGTCTTCCCATTTAAGTATTATGACCATGCTTCCTCGGCTTAGGCTAAAGATAATAACCCCACCAAAAATGGCTCATTTGTTTACTTTGGCTTTTATTGTAGAAGTTATTTACTTTCTTTTAGATTGGAGATGGGTATTCATATGTGAAGATTTGATCTTGAAAGTTATGTATTCTTGGTGGAAACTAAAATGGAGCATTAGTGTTTTTGTTGCAAGTTTTGGGTACCATTGAACTCTGCTACATGAACGACGACACCCAAGTGAGCAATAGATGTAAGACAAAAACTGCAGTAAGATTGCACCATTTAAAAGAATATGAACGAAGGAGAGAGAGGGATTATTATTAAATCCCGTGAGTGATTATTACTAGAAATAAAATGACTAAGAGGTTAGGTTGTGTTATTCAAAGATGGATTATTATTGCAAAGTATGAACTTCTGTATTATTGCCTCATTTATCATCTTTATATATATATATAATGTTTTACAACATACCATTATGAATAATTGGTTTAACAAAGGGAACTTATTTTATTACTTAAATAGACAATAGAAATTTAAATAACATAACAGTAAGTTCATAATAAAGATAATTAACATGATTACATTTTCACACCAAACCTAGAACACAATTTACTAAACTTAAAACATCTAAACACAATAAAACTTAGTAAAAACATAGCTTCATGAACAGAAACATCAAGAAACACAAAACTCAAAATCAAACTTAGAAGCTTAACAACCAATTGATCAACTTAACATTGCTTCTTATACTCCAGTGAAAGCACCTGAAAAAAAAAAAATCTAGTGGCTTAAATCTATATAGAAACTTGGGTACATGTTTTTAACAAGAAACAAGGAATAAACCATTTCAATCAATTCACCTCCTCCTCATCTTCATCTTTAAGATTTATGACATCCCTTCGTCCCAAGTTTGATGAAGAATCTAACATATATAAATTTATAAACTATCAACATCTTTAAGAAATTTAAAAATAAAAAAGAATATTCAAATGAATCAATTAATTAATTTTGAAATAAGTATAAACTAAAAATACTTACCATCAGCAGATCTCTTCCTTTTAATTCCAAATGTTGAATTTGCACCACCATTAGAAGGCCATAGCCAAAAGGCTAAACCTTTGTCATTAAAAATATAAAATTGGAAGATACCATCTCCAACATTTATAAAAACAATAGTGTCATCATCCGCAATATGATTATCTATTACAAACTTACTCCATCCATTGCCAAAACCTGTTTTATAAACAGCTACTTCCCATTTATTGCCACAAACACCACAAAGGGAAATAGTTGGCTTATCACTGAAAAGTTCATCATAGATTTCTTTTGGGATACTCTGTAAAACCATAAATAAAAAAGCTAAAATAAAGATGAAGACTATTAAATTGAATTAATAATGGTACTCTAAACAATTATTAACAAATAAAAAACAAGAAAGATAAAAGGAAAATAAGAAAAAAAATACCATTTTTGCTGTACAATCTTTGAATACATATGTTAAGAGGCCAAATGGTAGCTTATCATGCACCGGATTACTCATCTTTAGAATTGCAAGGCTCAAGAGATTAACAGAAATTGATTAACAAAAGCTTGATTAAATTGAGAACTAATTAATAAACTTATAAAACAAAGGTTAAACTGTTATAAATTATTTTTGAAGGTTCTGGAAATAGCACTAATCTCATCCAATACCCCACGTTAAAATAAAACTGCTCAATGAAGTAAGTCAATAAAAGTAACTTCTTCTATTTCAAATTTGAAAATGATAATTATTATTTATTCCTAACCTAAATAATTTTGAACACCAAAAATCAAATTTTGCTGAAGAAAAAGTAACAAAAATGAGTTTAGAGAGCAACAACAATAGCAGAACTTAGTAGACTTTCTGGCAAAAGCTTGATTAACTTGTTTGATTTAATAGATTTTCTGATCACCTCAGTCGAACCAGTAGTGGAAATGGTTAAGAAAAATATTAGCACTCTTGTGAAGGATAAGTGGGAAGAAATTACAAAGAAGAACAACGATGTTACTTTCATTTTGAAAGGAGACTATATTATTAAGAATATTGACGCTAAATCACAAAAAAATAGATTGAAGAAGTATTTATTGAACTAGAAAATTATCCGAAAGTCTGATAATAAAAGTGGATAAGTTCAAAATGACTATCAGTTTTGATAAGATTATTATATGTATTTATTTAACTTTTGAATATAAGATAATTAGTATCTGTTGTTTATTTAATTAGATAATTAATATTTATTATTTATTTATTTAGATAATTAATATCTATTATTTATTTAATTAAGGTTTAGTTTATTAAGAATGATTTGGTATATTTTTAAAATTCATTTAAAACTATTTATAAAAATTTAGTCTTTTGAAAATTTAAAATAGTTATTTATACACTTCAATGATTAAAATTTAATTATTAAATAAAATATTTCAGCATTGCCTTACTAATGCTCAGCCTTTCCGTTTGGTGTCGACACTAAAATTATGTGTCAACACCACGTCCATGTCGAGATTTTGCATGCTCAGCTCTTCCGTTTGGTGTCGACACGAAAATTATGTGTCAACACCACGTCCGTGTCGGGTCTCTGTCCAACATTGAAGCTAAATCAATTCTAAAACCTATTTTATATTTTCATGCTTGATTACTTAATAGACATAGATTTATTTTCATGTATGGTTTTTTTTCCTTTTTTAGTAAAATAAAATAAAGAATTTTTAATATATACCTTAAAATGGTATTCTTTTATCATAAATAGATATAAAAAATAAAAATTTAGTAGAAATCCACAAAAAAAAAAGTTGATTTAGTCTAGAAGAATTTTGCACAAACTTAAAAAAATTACAAAATACTTATAGTAGATAAATAGGTATAACTATAAACTTAGACAAAATATAGTTTAAACAAAAGAAGAGAGGTTGAATACTCTAAGTCAAATGTAATTGATCCTCAAACA